AGGCAGAAGCTTAAAACCTCAGCAGTAAACGTATGAGTGAAGTAGCGTCCCTGTGTGGTGCAAAAGGTGAAGTGCTCAACGATTAGCCAGGAGAGGTGCCTCGGAAGGCAGGCCTGGCGACCTGCTTCTGAAAGGTTGCAGTCTCCCAAATCGTAGGAAGCATTTCTCCCCTGCACACGTGGGGTCGCCATGAATCTGAATCAACATCATCATCATCATCAACAACAACAACAACAACAACCAAACTCCAAGGTAAATTCTCGGCAGACTTCTCTGGGCAAAGAAACCCAGCTCTTAGTTGAAAACTTGAAGCGATGGATGCTTAAGAATAGAGGCCAGCTCTATTCCAACCAACCTCACTGCCATGGAGTCGATGCTGACTCAAAGCAACCCTATAGGTCAGAGTAGAACTGGCCCTGTGAGTTTCTGAGACCATAACTCTTTGCGGAATTAGCAAGCCCTGTTTCTCTTCCGCAGAGTGAATGGCTGGTGGTCTCCGAAAGCTGCCTTAGCAGTTAGCAGCCCAATCCCTAAGATGCCGCTGCTAGGGCTCCTCGAGGTCAACCAGGGGTAGTTTGAATCTCATCACCACATCCACAAGCCAGACTGCTCAGCTGGGCACTCCCTCTGCTTGCCTCTCTTGCAGGGGAACAGAGGAACCGATACTCGTGGACACACATCATGTGGAGCGTCTACAGGATTTCATATACTCCAGCAAGCCCTGAGTAAGAAACTCTGGTGGAGTAATGGGTTGCATGTTGGGCTGTGAACCACAAGGCTGGCAGTTCATAACCACCAGCTGCTCCTCGGGAGAAAGACACAGCTTTCTACTCCTGTGAAGATTTATAGTCTTGGAAACCCACAGGGGCAGTTCTACCCTGCCCAAGAGGGTCCCCTATGAGTAAGAATTGACACGATGGCCATGAGTTTGCTTGTTGGTTGTTTAATCTGATGGTGCTGGCGGGTCAGCATTCAACTGCCAATGGCAAGGTCAGCAGTTCAAACTCACCAGGTGCTCCAGTGGAGAAAGACGGGCTATTCTGCTCCCTGAAGATGCACAGCTTCAGAAATCCTCTGTAGGGTTGTTATTGCTCAGAGCTGACTTGACGGCAGAGGGGGGTTGGTTTTGGCATCTAGCCACTAAGTTACTGGCATTATGACTCCACAATAAAACATCAGTCCAAAGCAAATGAAATATGGACAGAGGATTTGAGTCGACCTTTTTTTCCAAGAAGAAATGCCCACTAAGCACATAAAAAAAAAAGCTCTGTGTCATTCGTCACTTGGGGAATGCACTGGGAAACCCAAATGAAGTGCCAGTCTACAGGCACCTCAAAGAAACAAAGACAAGATCGGAGCTGCCAAGGACTTCATCTTCCTGGAATCCAAAGTCACCCCCATCCCCTGGAAGCAGAAAATCAAACCAGTATTGCATCGGGGCAAATTGGCTGCAAAGGTCGCTAAGGCATTACAAAGCAAAGACAGCACTTTGATAACTAAGGTGCTCTTGACTAAAGCCATGACACATGTATTCACCTCATATGCATGTGACACCTGGACATGGAATCATGCTGGACAAAGAAGAACAGGTGCCTCTGAAGTATGGTGGGGGCAGAGAACACTGGCTAGGTCACAGGTTGCCTAAAAGAATGAACACATCCGTCTTGGAGGAGGGATAGCAAGAATGATCCTTTGAAGCAAGGATGGCGAGATTTCACCCCACATACTTTGGACATATTATCAGGAAGGACCAATCCCTGGAAAGGGATATCACCACTGTGTTAGTCTGGGTAGACTAGAGAAACAACTTCATAGACACTCATATGTATATAAGAAAGAGGTTTATATACAAGAGCAATTGAATATTGAGAACACATCCCAGTTCAGTCCAGATCAAGTCCGAAAGTCTAAAATTAGCCCATATGTCCAATACTAATCTATAAAGTCCTCCCAGACTCACAAAATGCATGCAATGATGCCGAATGCAGGAGGATCACAGGCTAGTGGGTTGGAAGTCTTGTGGATCCAGTGGTGTCAGCACTGGCAGGGGTCTCTATGTGACTTCCCCAGCTCCAGAGGTCTGGTTGCATCAGGGTAGGTCCATGTGTCTTCTCCAGCTCCCAGGGTGTAGCACCATGTGTCTTGTCAGTAGAGCATCTCTCAGGGAGTGAGCAGAGAGAGAGAAGTTTCTCCTGCCTCCAAGGAGGAAAAATTGCAGGAGTTCCCAGAATTCTCAGGAGAAGGCCATGCCCACACAGAGGCCTCATTGGTTATATCTTTATTGACAGACCAGACTCCACCCCTACACTCTTAATCCTCTCAAGCTGACACCAAATTATGTAACTACCACAACGACTCAGACACGCCCCTATGCTTAAAGACTCTGTAGGTTATTGCATATATCATACTGAATTGACAGCTAGTGACGCAAGTGACTGAGGGAGACATAATTATGATCCACATAATGTCATAATTATGACCCACATCATGTCCCGATTAGCCAGTGGGAAAACATACTGCAAGTGTGCCAGGTATGCTGTTAGCCTCAATATTCAGTATCAAAGAGTAGGATGAATCCCATAGGAACAAAAGCAAGATTAACCTGAAGGATAAAAGTTCATCCCGTAGAAATAAATCAGGGAGAAGACATTCTGCGTGACTTCAAAATCCATTGGCAGGGAAATGAAATTCCAATGCCTATTTTCCTTTTTCTTTGCCCTTGGTCTCTCGTTTCTCCTGCACCTGTCCTCATAAGAGCTCTGTGAGGGGGTTTGGGTGGACGTAAATATGCGAGCAAACCTTAGAGACCACCGAGCACTTAGTGGCACAGATACGAGGCACAGGGAGCCAAGCAGAACCTTCTGCCACAAGGAATTGATGACCCCCCCCCCCCATTCCGTCTGGTTTCTGCTGCTCTCTTGGCTTCTTGCTCGAGGGGAGCCAGGAGACCCCACACCTCAACTATCACTGACTAAGACACAGGAGCAGACGGGAGTCAAAGACAAAGACGCAGCATTCAGCGGTGGGAGATCCTGCAGGCAAGACCCTAGGGGTGTCCATGGATGGACAGAAACACCGCTGCATGCAGCGGACACGGGAGAATGAGGGACACTCACAGAAACATGCTGGGTGGCAGAACGATTCCTCACAGTTACAGATGCCACTGCAGAAGCGGGGAGGAAGGGACCATGAGGGGGGAGTGGGTGGGGGGCGTAGGCAATTCTCGACAGAAAAGGTCACTGTGTGTCGATTCAGGACCCTCCAGCAGGGCAGTCAGGATCTGACTCATGGCCACGTGGGCCCTCGCATTTCTCCACGGGCGCTTCCAGACAAAGTCCCTACGGGCTAGGCCACCCTTCCTGGGCTGGCTTGGAGAGGGGCAGTAATTCCATTTCAAAGGCACTCCACCAGTGGGGTAAAGTCATTCACACTGCTGGTTAAAGGTCAGAAGCCACCCAGGGGAGGCTGAATCTGTGCGGGGAGACTCACGAATGGATTTAGAACCCCTACGTGAGTCACCATAAAAATATTATTCTGAAAGAAAAATGCATTTGGGGCCGCCACTTACACTGTAGCCTTCAACCAACCCAGGGTTTGGCATTGAAGCTCTAGTGCACAGGATCATTTCAATGTAGCATATGTGATGCTACATCAAATGACTTATACATCAGCATCATCCCATGACGTCACGCACAGGTTTCAAATTTAACCGGTGCAACAGCCCAGCACTTCATCTCCCCTGAGTAAAGGCCGACTCCAATGGGATTTTGACAAAGGCCTTTGCTACTTCCCACAGGAGAAGAAGAAGAGAAGGCAGGGGCATTGTGGCAGAAAACCAGCGACGAGGACACCGATTTTGAAGGTTAGCCTGTTAGCTGCAAGGGGAGAGAAATCCACCTTGTCTGCAGACTTTCACAAATGTTAGCTTCACTTTCTTCATTAAAAAACAAACAGCAAACACCGGCACCACCACCAAACCCAACGGAGACACAGGGAGACCAGGGAACGGGATCTGCGCGGGGAAACGATCCGACAAGACGAGAAGGGGCGGTAAAGCTGGGTCCTGAAAGCTTGGAGGCTCTGCCGTGTAAGGCAACGTCATAAAGGAGAGGTGTTAGACAGGGTTCTCTAGAGAGACGAAACCAGATTGCTCTAATTGTATATGTATTTATACAGATGGATAAATATGTAACACAAGAAATAAACAGTTAAATTATAAAGCAGTACAAACGGCTCAGTGCAACTCACTCCCATGAGACAGCTGTGAGACACTGGCAGTCCTTCAAGTCTTGAGGGCCGCTGGGTAGTCCTCTGTAGACCAATTCAGGCTATCCGGGCACAGGCAGCAAACAGCAAGGCAGGTCACCAACAGTCAGCCAGATGATAGAGTCCCACAGTCCCCAGTTCAAGAGATGTAAATTCCAATGGTGTGGTGAAGCAGGTCTTGAAGGAACCTCAAATTACAGCGACACAGTCCATGGGTTAGGTGTCCACAGGTAGTGTCACTTGCAAATGGAGGCACAGAACAAGCAAGGCAGCCGCACACTGGTCCGATGAGCAAAGAGCAAGAGACGAGACAGGCGAGGCTCGCCAAGCCATTTATCTCTCCACCCTTCAATTAATCTCACATGTGTTTATCGGCCAGGTCGGCACAATAAACTAACTACCTCAGGAGATACTGACCATTTGAGGGCCATTGTATCCCCATGAAGAGTGAGAGAACGCCCCACCCAACCCCCACTTCTGGAGGAAGATGACCATTCAGGTCTGATAAAGGTAGGTAGCCATCAAGGGATCCTGTCTGCCTTATTGACCTCTCACGGGTGAGCTCTTGAGATGGGGGGGTGAAGCAGTCTTGAATTATTTTTCTTTCAAGGGACATTGATGACTCTCCTTTCTTAGGCCAATGGCTTTGCGTGTTTTGTTAAATGCTCCGGCGGCATTTTAGACCAATGTGTAAAGAAAAAAAGCAAGCCCGCCCTAAGTTCCCTAAAAGACAACTACATCACATTTTTACAAGCACAATGTGTGTGGGGGGCACTATACCTGTTCCTGAGAATCAGGAATTTCCTTTCCCAGGTTTTATTTATCTTCTCTGCTTCCTTCTTAATTCTGTAATAAATAAAAATAAGTGTAGGTGGTTAACTATCATATTAGCAATTAGAGAATAGCTATGGGTTCTCATTAAGTACCTTTCGGATCTACTTTTTTCTTCCTCTATGGCCTTTTTCAGTATTTCTATTTCATCCTCCAAATTCCTTCCGTCTTCCCTCTTTGAATAAAAAAGGTATCACAACATAAATGACATGGATAATTCCTGTTAATTCAAAAACATTAAAAGGCTACTTCTATGAAATAGGATGAATGTTCGAACTACTTTCAAAAATAATTTAGGGAGAAATGAATTACAGCGCCTTCTTATCACCACCAGATAGTTTAAGGTCTCATGCCAGGTTTCTGTTATGATGCTCAAATGGATTCACTCAAAGGCAGCTAGTTCCAGACACGTACACAGCAGCCGAAAGGTAACTTCATCACTGCCCCCTCCATCAGGTGTCCTTTGTCTAAATCTTATCTGTCCTCCCTAATTGTGACCTCCCACCACTTTATCATAGTGTTAGTTCCTCCTCATCTCAAAAGTGTTCTCAGAAGAAGGTCTGACACACTCAGTCACCCTGCAGCTTTGTGCCATTTCTCAGCACCATTTATATTTTACAAGGCACAAAATTTAAAAGTATTTTCCTTAGCACAAGCAATGAATCTCGAACAGTGGAATGGGAGGTATGTCATGGATAAGGAAGATCTTTGGTTGTGGCAGGGTCATCTCCCAGAATCATACTGAAGGGGCAGTCACATTTCCTTTCTGTCCATAAGGCTGACTTCCAGCATAGCTTCCAAAGTCATTGCTCTGTCCAGGGTTAGGCAACACCAATATAAACAATACTATGGTTTATCAAGATAACCGTACTGGTCACAATACCTTATACTCTGGTATTTTCAACATCTTTTCTAGTTGTTTTGACATCTGTGGAGAACGTTTCACCTGGTAAAAAAGTAAATGAAGGTAAGTAAAACATTTCTGATCAATGCCTAAAGAACTGTCTGTAATGTAGCTTGGTTGGCAGTTCAAAGTCACCAATAGCTCCATGCGGGAGAAGACTGGGCTTTCTACTTCCATTAATCGTGGCAATCTGGGTATCCCACAGGGGTCTCTATGAGTCACCATTAACTCGATGGCAGTGAGTTTGGTTTGGAGTGTTTCTGTAGCTTAGAGAAAGTCCTGAAACTTGCTACCCTACGTCAACAGGGGTCTTCATGGTCTCATCTCACATACAAAGTTTGGTGAGTCACCTTCCCGACATGATCGCTGAAGACAAATGTGTGCATTAGCAAATGTGTTGAAGAAAGGCTGATGGTGCTCGGCTATCAAAAGATATAGCATCTGGGGTCTTAAAGGCTTGAAGATAAACAAGCGGCCATCTAGCTCAGAAGCAACAAAGCCCACATGGAAGAAGCACACCAAGTTGTGTGGCCACAAGGTGTCGAAGGGATCAGGTATCAGACATCGAAGAACAAGAAATCAAATCATTGTGAATGAGGGGGAGCGCAGAGTGGAGACCCAAAGGCTACCTGGGGGCAACTGGACATCCCCTTATGGAAGGGTCGTGGGGAGGAGACAAGCCAGTCAGGGTGCAGTGTAGCAACAATGAAACATATAACTTTCTCCTAGTTCTTAAATGTTCCCTCCCACCCTACTATCATGATCCCAATTCTACCTTACAAATCTGGCTAGACCAGAAGATGTACACTAGTACAGATAGGAACTAGAAACAGAGGGAATCCTGGACAGATGATCCCTTCAGGACCAGTGGTGAGAGTGGCGATACCGGGAGGGAAGGTGGGGAAGAAAGGGGGGGACCGATTACAAGGATCTACATAACCTCCTCCCTGGGGGATGGACAACAGAAAAGTGGGTGAAAGAAGACATCAGACAGTGTAAGATATGACAAAATAATAATAATTTATAAACTATCAAGGGTTCATGAGGGAGGGGAGAGCAGAGAGGGAGGTGGAAAAATGAGGAGCTGATATCAAGGGCTCAAGTAGAAAGCAAAAGTTTTGAGAATGATGATGGTAACAAATGTACAAATGTGCTTGACACAATGGATGGATGTGTAGATTGTGATAAGAGTTGTACGAGTCACCAATAAAATGATTTTAAAAAAAGAGTTCAGTGCTTATGCACCGGATTTGTAACCAGACCATTGTGACCCTTGCAACCGATTTTTTCTTCTCTTGTGGTTTCTAATTCCATTACTTTGTAGCAATTAGCCAAATCCCACCATTGCACATCCTCTACAACGTGGGCAGTTATCTTAGTGAGGTCCCAGGCTTTATGGAATGCTTTCAGATGACAATTACGGTAGCTTTTCACTCTGCTCTCTCTCTGGTAGCAATAAGTAGAAGAGGAAATATATACTGAACATACATTTTTGGTTGGCCATCCTTACATTCTGAGACAATGGGTAGGCGACACTGCTCCTTGTCTCCTCTGAGCTTCTCATCCTGTGCAATCTCCGCGGAGTCCCCACCTCTGCTCCTCCCTTGCTCGGTCAGTCTTTGACACGCCTAAAAAGCTGTGGTCTCCAGACACATTCTGCACTAACCCTGCCTCGAGGACCCAACAAAGACAGCCCATTCACAAGTGGGCGTATGTAACCATAGGCAGGGAGGTGAGGATTTACAACATATAATTCTGGGTGGAGGGGCACCCAATTCAGTCCATCACAAAAGCCTCAAGCACGACAATACCGACGTCACAACAGCAACACAGAAATCAGCCTTTCTAGGCTTCCGCAGAGTGAGGGTAACCAGCGTGACACCAGTCCACGCTATTTGGGATCCTTCAACCTAGTTGTCCACAAGGGGTCAGTCCTCTTGAACTGCCCAGGGGACAGAGTGAATTTATTGCTATATGGTCAACAATGGGCCAAGGAAGCCACTGTGGTAAGAGGGCATTCGCTCATCAGTGTGCCAAGGGGGCAGGGGAACCAACACACTTAAATGTCAATCTGCGGTAAGTTAGGAAAACAGATCAGTGATGCAAACTAAGTTACAATGTAGATTAATCTTCATATTTATTTTCTTACAGCCAAGATGTATTAGCTATCTAAAATTTATTGAAAAGACTCTCTGTTTGCAGGCAGGAAAAATTAATTGTGATTGCCAGGTTTCCTTTTCCTGTAATGATCAACTCTGTCATAGCAGGAGATAAGATTGTGCTAGAGTATATCTCCTGTAAAGCAAATAATTACTTAATCTCTCCTAAAGACAATATTCTTACAAATAGGAACATAGCTTCTATTTTTATTTTTAAAAAAGCAAGCCGCCCATGCAGGCTACAGTGTTTGACCTCAGCTTTGAATTGAACATTCAAGTTTGGCGCAGTCGGTAAAATTGAATCCTGTCTCTGCCCACGTTCAGCCATCTTTTTGTTTTGTCAGCTGCCGACATTCCGCTGTCTCTGGATTCTACATGCTGGTCTTTATGAGGCCAGGGCATTGGCAAGTGCAAACAGTAGACGCTAACGATAGACAGAGTTGAGAATAAATGGAAATATTCACCTAAGAGTAGTTGTCATCCTACCTGGGAACATTCAAATCACATGACAGTGAAGATAACCAGACAACGCTGATTAGAAAAATACATATACAATCTGTCACTTAAGAACACATTGATGTTTAATTATCACTAAAATTTATACCATCAAGAAATAAGACTTATTTGTAGCCCAAGCGGTAATTCTTAAGTTTGATTCCCATCTTTTAAGCACTTAAGACATGCCAAGAAAACCAACATTTAATAAATGTCGTCTTCTAAATCAGGAATCAAAAGCCAAGATTTATAGGAACAGCAGGAAGACAATTATGTTTGTTAACAGCCACAAGATTGACCATATTTCATTGATCATAGCCTCCCCTGTCCTCTCTTTTGTCTCTTGTCTATGAAAGAACTCATCATATTTCCTTTTTCTCTTAATTTGTACTGACATTCTGCTGGTTGAAACTTTGGTCATTCTTTCTGGGCTTAATACAAAGAGTGTTTGCCTTCTTACCTCTTCCGTCCCGTCCCCCCCCCACCTGTAAATATATTACCACAACCATCTTTTCAACACATTCCAAAGAATGATTATTTTCTTTCCCTCACATTTCACCAACCTCTGCTTCCATATGAGCACTTCTTTCTTTGTTACCTGCCAGGCCAACAGTGGTTGTTAAGCACCAGGCATGTCCAGGGGTTCTGATAGGTAGTAGTGATAGGCGTGATACAAGCACATGAAAAGAGGAGGGATTTCAATAGAAGAAACGTGGTAATTAGAAACATTGGAATCCAGCCTTAATCATCATGTAGGCATAAAGTCCCCCAAACCACTTATCGACATAGATTGCTAATGATGTTTTTTCCTAACAGATACAGTTAAACTATGGAAATCTTCATAAAATATAACAAGACTTTCCTCATTTGATGTATTTAGACTCTGCCTTCTAGGGACTCTGAAGGCCTGTAGACCCCAGGCTGATCCAGGCTATGTGAAGATCCCCAGCCTGTCTTCTCCAAGACCCTGAAGGCTACAACGTCTACGTGGGTTGGGCCTCTTCACTTGCCTTTAGAGCCTTTAGATCAATGTTTCCCAAAGTGATATCGCCCCCTGGGGGGGCAGCTGGAATGATCTAGGGGGGCTGCAAACGCAGATACCTACACTTTATTCTGGATTATGGGATATAGCATAAAAGCTTTTCATTGCCTGGGGAGCACTGAGTAAAAACTTCTTTGTGCTTTTCCCCTGAAACGGGGGCAGTAGGCCAAATAAGCTTGGGAAACTAAGGTCCAGATAGATCATCCTGTTCACTGCAGGAAGGTAGATGCATAGAAGGAGCATGAACCCCAAACCAAAGGTGTTGTTATCACGTGGATTCTGACTCGTGGCGACTCCCCATGGTAGGAACTAGAACTTCTCCATGGGGGTTTCTTGGCTGGGATCTTTATGGGAAAAGACCATCAGAGCTTTCTTCCTTTTTGCCACTGGGTGGGTTCAAAATGCCAACTTTTAGCTAGCACGGGATTACCAATCTTAAAACAAAAACTAATTAAGACCCTTGCATCATGAGTGTGCATCATCGTATTAATGATGATGAATTCATTATTAGTGATAACAGAAGAACAGACATGTTGCCTGGGAAGGCGCTGGTAAATTGATAAGCTGTGTGCTCAGGGAACTGTGCCCATAACTGATGATCTGTATTTAATGACATGGCATGATGTTACCCATGTCTTGCTGCGTGTGCTCATCTGAGTCAAGATTTGTCTGAAGGGGAGGGTCAGAAGAGGTTGGAAGTTGGTGTGTCTGGATTTTCTTCACCCAGCAAAGATGCAAAGGAGGCGGCTCTCGAGCTGCAATGTCCAGAGAAGGGTAAGGCAAAACGATGCCAGAGAACGGAGAACACGTCCCTCTCAGGAGAGACGGGCAGGACGACTGCCTCATCGATCACACTGCCTGGAGGGAGCACCACCATGCCAGTCACCACCTCAGCAGGTGCGAAGAATCAGCTAACAAAACAAAACAATTGCCACAGCCCAAGTATTGGCTAGCAGGGCAGCCAAAAACCAGCTAGGAGTGTGGGCTGAAAGGGAAGCTTGAATCCATTCACAAGCTCTTTCCCAGGGACCCCACCAGGTACTCAGGGGGAAACCTGAGGGCAGGGCAGGAGAATAAAGTGTGTCTTGGTTGGCGATACAGGCTTGAGTCGCTAAGGGAAAGGCACAAAACCCCACCATTTCCTGGTCTTCTGCTCTTAAGATCAGGCATTGGGCTGAGAACCCCGAGGTCTCGACCCACCGTGGAAAGATGAGGCGGTCTGCTCCCGGGAAGATTCCGTCTTTGGAATCCTCAGGGAGCATTTGGCCTCGGTGCTCTAGGGTGGCTGTGAGTCGGAATCAGCTGGGCATTTTCTCTCCCGGGAAGAAAAAGTCACCCGCTCCCGG